TTTTTTTTTCTCCTTTATTTTGTTCAAATAAGTATGTATTACATCCAGCAGGGATAATTAATGTTTATATATAACCTGGTGCGATGCATAAAATGAACTATTTACAAGTTTAGCAAAGTGCGCTTTAGTTTATCACTTCCAATTTCGGTTTTCAAGTTTTCATAAAACCAATTCGGATCATTATATCTCATCATGTCCATTGCACTTGGTGGAGGGTCTATTTTCTTAAATGATTCATAGCATCGTTTCATGACATCATCATGATCTACTCTTGACATAGCTTTATTTAAATATAGTTCTATGATCTCATTATATGAAGTGTCAAGACAGACGTCGTGGTCTTTCTGGCTGGGCCTATCGTATATACAGCCAAAGCAATTTTCTTTGACTATCTTTGCAAGTTGCCTTTCTACTGCGCCAGCATAGGTCTTCAACAACATGTCTTCCATCTCAACGCGCCTTTCTACCATCTCTACCTCATCACAAACGACTTTTCGTGGGGGAATTTTGAGCTTTAGATGGTGTGGTTTYTTACTCATGTACTTGGGACTTGTTTTCTTCCCTTTCTTCCCCTTTTCCATTTTAGCTTTCTTTTTCGTGCTGGTTCGGTTTTCCTCATCATTGTCATCAGCGTCTCTGTCTCTCTTCTTCTTTTCCTGAAAGCYTTGGGTTTGAACGAAACTTAAAACATAGTTTTCAATTTCTTGGTAGTGCTCATCGAACTTCTGGAAGTTATTCAAATTTATATAGAGCCCTACTGTATTTTCGTCTTTCTTCTCGTTTGGAGGTGAATCGTAGTCTCCGATAAAAATCTTCTTACTCCCGTCTTCATTGACAATCACAGAAGCATAACACTCTTCGTGAACCGGAATCGACATGTTTATACACCGGTATTGATCAGCAAGTGATTCTCCTGATTTTGATCGGGCTTTTAAACTTTTCTCTCTTTAAAAATATGTCTTCATATTTCATAATTCAAATTCCCGCCTTGGCGATTGRAATTCGTACTTTGACCGTTTTCTACATTCCAACCTCCCCTCCCCCTACATTCTTAAGGGGTTATTCAGGAATTTAGACCACCCATMCCCTCGTAAGTGCGGTATCTGTGGGGTCATAACTACTAATAGTGATGCAGCGTAAAGTAGCTTAAGTTGTGCAATTTCTTTTCTCTACGGCCATAACACTGAGAAGAAACCGATTCTCCTCCGATCAACGAAGTGAAACTCGGTAAGACCAGCGTAGTACTTGGATGGGTGACCACCTGGGAATAACTGGTGCTGTAGAATTTTTTATTCATTTGATTCTCTTTCTCTTTTCAATTGCTTCAGATCACTTTATTCGTTCATCTTTTAATTTTTCTACTCCATTTATTGCTGTTCTTGTTTTCTGTTTGTTTCGTAGTGTTGTTTTCTTTCGTTCTAGAAAAGTTTCTAGGCTCTGAAATCGAGATGCAGCTTAAAGTAGCTTAAGTTGTGGAATTTCTTTTGTGTACGGCCATACCACTGAGAAAAAACCGGTTCTCCTCCCATCACCGAAGTGAAACTCGGTAAGGCCAGCGTAGTACTTGGATGGGTGACCACCTGGGAATAACTGGTGCTGTAGACTTTTTTGTTCATTTTATTCCCCTTCTCTTTTCAATTGCTTCAGATCACTTTATTCGTTCAACTTT